ATCTCTACTTCCGCCAGCTGCGGTTCGACGCCTCCACTATCTCTTCCTTGCTACCCTTACTTTTCTCCCCCTTCAACAACAAGTTACTTCACCATCGACGATCTTTCGTCGTCCGGCCTACACCGCAACTGTCTGCATCTGCACATACACTCCAGAGCTCCCACTCGTGGAGATTGTTTGTCTTTTTTGTTGTTGTGTGGTTTGTTTGTTTTCTCTTTACTTTACATAGTTCTTCCTTTTGTTTGAATCCTCCTTGTAACCTTTTTCTATTCGGTAATAATATTGTGTTTGAGTCGTGGTTTGGGTTAACTCTGGTATCATTTGGTATCAGAGTTAGCCCAACTCCAGTCTCATCCTAGGTTTTCCTAGCATCCGCTCCTACCCAAGTGACCACGACAATTTTTTTCCTTCTTTTTTCTCTCTCAACTTTTCATTCTTCTCTTTTCATTATTTGTTTATTCTTTTTTTCATTCTTCCACAAATCTCAAACCGTCAATCATGCCGCCAAGGAGAAATATGCCCAAGCCTACCTAGGAAGAGATACGATGAGAACTTCGTCGTCTTCACCAGAGGCTTGCAGAGCATGAAGAGTTACACAAGGAGAGGTTTCCTTCGACCAGGATCTGGAGAGTCGAAATGGAGAAAGGAATGACGATATGAATCTCTTCCTTGCTGAGACTTTCAGTGATGAAGAAGACAGGCCGCAACGTTTCGGAATACAATATTATAGTAGACCTAAAAAAGGATATCTGAATCACTCCTAGAGGGAGAATTTCCAAGAGGAGATGTCATTTGGAGGACACAAAGTACGGAGTCAAGGTGGACTTACCCGATTTTGAAGGAGGCTTGAATCCCGATGAATTCCTGGATTAGCTACAATTTGTTGAGCGGATATTCGAGTATAAGGAGGTGCCAGAGGATAGGCGAGTGATTCCTTATGGTGGGAGAATGTGTAGAGCAGAGGAAAAGAGAAGACAATGAGAAGATCACTAGGTGGAAGAAGATGAAGAATGCAATGCATAAGAAATACCTCTCACCTCACTATCGCTAGAATATGTTCTTGAAACACCATAACTTACAATAGAGGGATTTTTCACTGGAGGAGTTCACAACCCAATTCAATCACTTACAGATGAAATTCGAGCTAATGGAGCCAGAGGAGAATACAGTAGCCAGATACCTTGGGGGCTTGAAACATATTATTAGCAATGTGGTGTAACTATAACCGTATTGGACGCTGGGGCATGTCCAGACACTTGCATTGAAAGTGTAGAGACAACAGAAGCAGGGCAGACAATCACCACCAGTCAGGTAGCCACACACAGTTGGAGAAACCAACAGGAGAACGTCGCAGGGGTTGAGAAAATTGGTTCAAATACGAATAAAACTACCCCCAATGAGAAGAGGCCAACTACAGTACCTGTCAGAAAATGCTTCAGATGGTACGGATTCAGACACAACCTCTGCCTGACGACCAGATTTGTATTTTTTACGGAGCAGGGCACCGTGGAAGAGGTTAGCGAGGAGCAGAAAGCTGAGGAACAAGTTAAGGTATATCAACTTCCATCAGATGAGGGATAAGCACTTGTGATTCAATGGATTCTTGCATATCGACGACACGAGGAATCTACAGTTGCTTCACCACAACATTTTCTATACCCGTTGCACAGTGAACAAAATGGTATGCAATCTTATCATCAATAGTGGGGGCAACAAGAGCGTGAAATCGACTCAGATGGTAGATAAACTGGGACTTACTAAGTAGAGGCATTCCTAGTCGTACTCACCGACATGGTTGAAGGAGAATCAAGTCAATAAGTAGAGGCATTCCTAGTCGTACTCACCGACATGACTGAAGAAGGAGAATCAAGTCAGCATCAACAGGAGATGCTTGGTAGAGTTCTCGATATGAGGATATTTGCATGATCAGGTGTGGTGTGACGTGGTCCCTATGACTGCCTCTCAACTTATGTTGGGACGATCGTAACAGTTTGAATGGAGGACTAAGCACGATAACTTCATGAACACATATTTCTTCACCAAGGAGGGGAAGCACATCATTCTACTTCCCTCGGCAGAGTCGGAGATCACAGGAGCCCTTACGAGCAGAGTGACGTATGTGGGACCAGTTTTAGTGATGACACCAGACGAGATAATCAAGACACCCGCTCCAGATACAAGACATACGAATGAGGGTATGTCAAGACAACACCGTTCTATCAGTGCTACCACCAATCGGAAATGGCCAGATTACTCTCACTGCATGACCGATTGAACTGATTGTGAGTTACTTTAGGAAGATTCAATAGTGTAGGCATGGTCCACAACCTTAGGGGGACAAATAGATATGAAAATTTTCTTGCAAGTTGAGGAAGACCCTTAGGTGCATTGGAGGGCGATGCAATCGCCGGTGGGATCTCGGTGCGACTCAAATTACATACGAAAGACTGGAAGCTTCAACCAATGAGGTCAAAGCTCCCCCAACCCCGGGAGACTGACGTGGGGCTTTGGGGAGAACCAGCCTAGGGTTCGGTCCAGCTTGGCTGGACAGATCGGTTCTCAAGAAGGGAGGGCTGCCGACCCCCTTTCCTCCCTTTCTTTCCATCCTTTCCTTTTCCCCTCCCTTTCCTTTTCCCTTTACTTTCACCCTTTCATTCCTAGCACTTTCCTAATTTAAATCCTTTCCTAAAATCTGAAATACTAATTATATTTTATTCTCCTTTCGTATTTTTAATTCTTTACTAAAATGTAAAATTTTGTTTATATTTTATTTTCCTTTCTTACTACCTAAAATAGGTCCAACATCTTTGTAAGTAGGGGATGATGTGCTTAGCATTAGGGGTCTTGATTCTGCATCTGAATTCAGGTTTGTCTGTGTACTTTCTCTCTTGAGAGTTGTATTCGACATCAATGATGTGCTCTGGCTCTAACCCCGTCTGAGGTGGTGCTTATCTCCTTTGTTCCGACTCCTTTCTGCATCCCTGTAGGCCGCCGCCTCTCCTACCTTCTCCCAGCCACCGCAGGCAGCTCCCTTGCCTGTCAGCCTACCGCAGGACCTCACCCTGCATCCTTGCAGTCTGTTGTACCGTCTCCTTCTTGCAGCCAACAGGCCACCGCCTCTGCTGACCTGTTTCCCACAAGCTGCCTCCTTCCTTCCAGCAGGCCACCGCCCTTCCACCACTTTGCCACCTTCCTCCCAGCAAGCCGCAACCCTCTGTCCAGCTTCCCGCAAGTTGCCGCCTTTCTCCCTGTAGACTTCAACCTTTCTTCCTACTTCCAGCACACTGTCGCCTTCGCCGACAGGCCACAACCCTCCTTCCTGCCTTTCGTAAGTCGACCAACTCCCTTACCGCTTTTGTTCCCTGCTCCTGCAGATTGTCTGCCACCGTCCCTGCCTCCTGCGGACCTCCCTCCTCTGCCCAACCAGATCCTCTACTGTCGATGACATTCTCTACTTCTGCCAGCTACGGTTCTACGCCTCCACTATTGCTGCCTTGCTGCCCTTACCTTCCTCCTATTTCAACAACAGCAAGATACTTTGCCATTGACGATCCTTTGCCGTTCGACCTTCACCACAGTCGTCTGCCTCTACACCTACAATCCGGAGCTCCCACTCATTGAGATTGTTGTCTTTTTTTTGTTGTGTTGTTTATTTGCTTTAATTATGTCTCTTTACTTTATGTAGCTCTTCCTTTTGTATGAATCCTCCTTGTAACCTCTTTCTATTAGGTAATAATATTGTGTTTGAGTCGTGGTTTGGGTTAACTCCGGTTACTTTAATTTGTTGTCCTAAGTTGACTTGTGAGTTTATAAAGCTGACTTGTCAATATTTAATGTAGTGGAATTACCTGCCATCATGTGTTTCTTTCCTCTCTCTTCCCTTGTACTTTAGAAAAGGCTTTACGAATTGATGGAAGAGATTTGGTTCCCATTATGCTTTCTCTGACTTCATCAAATTCCTTGTTGAGTCCTAGAAGGAACTTAATGGTTCTCTTCTATTCAACAATTGTTTTGTAAAGAGTAGAGTCTTGCGAACAATTTCATGTGTATGTTTCATACATATCTAGTTTGAGCCAGTATTTGGAGAGAATGTTGAAATATTGAGTAACATTCAACTCACCCCACCCAGGTCATGCAATCTAGTTTCATTATTAAGCAACTCAGAAATGTTGTTTGCACTTGAATAAGCTTCCATTAAGACATCCCAAATATCTTAGGCATTTTGGTACAAGAGGCTTTTCTCCAATTTTCATGGTCAAGGAGTTGATAATCCATAACATGACCATGCCGTATGATCTTTAATCTTCCATGTCTGATGTTTAGGATTAGTAATCCCTAGCATGTGATTTTTTTCGGTGAGGTGATAATCCTTTACTTTGTCATGAATGTACAGGAACATAGATTGAGACTATTAAAGGAAATTATTTTCGTGTAGTTTGTGATTGGTGATGTAAGACGACATTTTAGATGTTGCAGAACCAAACATCTTAGGCTTTTCATTCTGTATTTCATCATTATCAAGATTTATTTGGGAAAGA